CCCTAAACCCTAAACCCCTAAAGAGGGGATCCTGGAAGTCGACTTTCTTGGGCATGTCGACGAGCCCCAAGATCTCCAGGGAGAAGTCCTGCCGTAGGTTTTCGAGTTCAGGGTTGAAGGTTTGGGGTTCAGGGTTTAGGGTTTAGGGTTTAAGGTTTAGGGTATAGGGTTGAAGGTTTAGGGTTTAGGGTTTAGGGTTTGGGGTTTAGGGTTCAAGGCTTCAGCTCCGGGCTTTTATAGGGTTGAAGGTTTAGGGTTTAGGGTTTAGGGTTCAGGGTTTGGGGTTCAAGGGTTCAGTTTAGGGTTTCGGGTTTCACGGTTTGGGGTTCAGGATTTGGGGTTCAGGGTTTACGGTTCAGGGTTTGGGGTTTAGGGTTTAGGGTTTGGGGTTCAGGGTTTGGGGTTCAGGGTTATAGGGTTCAGGGTTTGGGGCTCAGGGTTTGGGGTTTAGGGTTTGGGGTTTAGGGTTGAAGGTTTAGGGTTCAAGGGTTCAGTTTAGGGTTTATAGAGTTTAGGGCTTAGGGTTTAGGGTACAAGGGTTCAAGGGTTCAGTTTAGGGTTTGGGGTTACAGGGTTCAGGATGTGGGTTTTGGCATTTAAGGTTTATGGCTACTTCGGAAGTGCCGGTATCTGTGGGCACGCGAGACTACTATACCGTGACTTTGTATGTCCAGTCTCCAATGTCTACCTCGGAACCTAACTATTTTTTTTTTACGGTTGACGGTTTACTTTGCAGCTTCCAGGTCCAGGTACCATTATAGTAGGTACTTAGTAGGTATTTGGGCCCCAAAAGTATATACTATACAATTACTTGGACCCTGTGGGTGTCATGCAAACCCCGTTTCCAGACGGCAACATCCCACACCTACTGTTGATGGACAAAATTCTGCATGACCCAAATATAGTATAGTACCATAAATCCCATAGTTTAGGTATATAGGGTCATGCAGGAGTTTGTCCATCAACAGTAGTACTTCTTCAAACCTTCGCGTCATCTTCAAGATTCTGCATTCTTGAGGGCTGAGGGCTGAAGAGGAGTACTTAAAGGATCATGGGACTTAGTAAGTAGGGTTATAACTAAGGTAACTAGACTTCTAACCCCAATTAAGGGACTTATAACCTTACTTACTAAGGCCCATGATCCTCCAAGTAGGCTTGTCGGTTGAGGGCCTATGGCTCGTAGCTCCGTGGAAAGCCCTTTCCGATTAAGTCTTGTTGGGGGTACTTGTACCTGTATATGGTAGCTGTCGACAGTAGAGCTAAAATGTGGCTTCTGGATGCTTGATACCTTAACTTTGGAACTAGGACACCAGATACGACTAAGGATCTTTGATCTCACTCTGTCTCTCGCCACACCAAAAGCACGACCTTAGACGTTTGCAGGTCCGCTCCTCGTCATCTTCGGAATCCCAGTCGTCACCGAAGTCAACCTCCTGTCAGGAGATTGTCGGAGACCAGTTGCTACAGAAAATCCTGAAATCCAAATCCCTACGCCCTTGACCCAACCTAAACCCTAAACCCTAAACCCTAAACCCTAAACCCCTAAACCCCTAAACCCCTAAACCCCTAAACCCCTAAACCCCTAAACCCTAAACCTATAAACCTTAAACTTCGAAACCCAAGGTCTCAGGATCTTCAGTTCAGATTTGTTCCGGCCGCGGCGCTGTGCATCTTGACCTTCCGAGATCTGGCCCTAATGCCCACACGGCACTTTGGTTTGTTCCATTATAGCCTACTTGTACCTGAATACAAAAATAACAATAAAGAACCTGTAGGGACCCTGCAGAAGGTAGAAAAAGGAATTGTAACGTCGGGGCTGGGAACTAAGAGTTTGAGGTTAAGGCTTCAGAGATCTCGCAAGCTGAGCGAGGGGGGCTCACCGCTCTGAATCACTACCAACACCCGAAACCCAAAACCCAATTAAAGGAAACTACAGGTGGGAAGTTTAGGGTATATAGGGCTTCTATAAGGCTTCTATAAGGTATATAGACCTTAGATAAGGCTCCCATAAAGGTAACTACCCATCTGAAAATGTCCTAGACCCAAAATCCCAAACCCCTAAACCCCTAAACCCTAAACCCCTAAACCCTAAACCCTAAACCTAACCCCTAAACCCCTAAACCCCCAAAACCCCAAAACCCCAAAACCCTAAATCCTGAACCCTAAACCCTAAACCCTAAACCAGAACACGTGATGTCGACCCGAGCCGGACACCAACTGCTTGAAAGCAACCTGACTTACTTGGAGGCCCAGAGGACTTAGTAAGTAGGTTATACGTAGAGTTAGAAGTACCCTAAATGGAGTTATCCCAATTATAAAGCCAGTTTACTGTGCTAGATTCATGGGCCTGAGGGTCTATATTATGGGTCTAATATAGAAGCCGAAATACTAAGCAGTATTATTCTTGAGGTGCCTTATTGCAGTTATAGTATAAATATAACACGAATCCCTATTCTAATTATAAAAGCCCCTAATCACCTTACTTAGGATTCAGAGATTCTCTCTCTCAGCCCTCAACCCTTACCATCAGCCGTGCAAGCCCTGAGCCCACTCTGAGACCCGAAAGCGCCTGCTGCATGTTGCCGCTGGGCTTTGCCTCAGCCTGGCAGGTACGGTTTAGGGTTTAGGGCCCTTTCTGTGCTTCCCAAACAAGACATTGAGACGATTGCCTCCCTCACACCGACCTTATTACGAGAATTAGGGCAGGCAAGGCTAGCGCAAGAGTGCATAGCAATGGCGAGTGATGCCCAGTCTTCAGTTACTATAGCGGCCTTAAGAATTAGAATGGGGTTTGGGGTATATCATACTATAGTTATAGAAAGAAACCCCCCCAAAACGCTGTTCGAATCAATAAGGCCCCTACATTACTAGTTCCGAAGTCGTTCAAAACCTGCTTCGGGTTATCTCCAGTATAGGTGTTGTCTGTCTGTTCGGAGCCAGTCTTCGGGAATAGAAACTACCTGGACCCGAAATAACCTACTTAGCAACTAGGGTTTAGGGTTTGAGGTTTAGGGTCTAGGGTTTCGGGGTTTACGGGTTAGGATTTAAGGTTCATGGGACTTAGTAACTAGCATTATAAATAAGATAACTGTAGTTATAATTACTTATAATCCTAATTAAGGTACTTGTAACTGTACTTATTAAGTCCCATGAACCTCCAAGTATCGCTTCTTTAAAAAGTCCAGGTAATGCAAGGTTTCGCTCCCACGGGGCTGATTGCCAAGCAGGGTGTCGCGACCCAGGAGCTTTCCGATTTAGGGTTTGGGGCTTAAGGTTTGTTTAGGGGTTTCGGGGTTTAGGGCTTGGGCCTTAGGGTTCAGGGCTTGGGGTTTAGGGCGTAGGTCTGTCAAACTGTATAACCAGGCTCGAAACCAGTCGAAACCCAAACTCCAAGCCCAAAGCCGGATGCTGAAACTGAAAAGCTGAAGGCATCTACGCCCAAAGGCGCTAAACCCCTAAACCCCTAAACCCCTAAACCCATTAACCCTGAACCCTAAACCTAAACCCTAAACCCCCTAAACCCCCTAAACCCCTAAACCCTAAACCCTAAACCCTAAACCCCTAAAATCCCACAAAGTCGAGCCTTGGGGCCGGCGTCGCGCTTGCTGCGCAGGAAGAGCTCTGTGCACCCAGGCCCGGCCTGCTGCAAGGAGTGGGTTTAGGGTTTAGGGTT